GGCTTCAGGGTACTGAAAAAAGGAACAAAGGGAGTTTGTGAGGCACAGGGCTCTTTGACCTAAAGCGCACCCACCCCAAAAGCAGTCCCTTTGCTTGAAATAATCCTAAAATTCCTTCTTTCAAAATGAGTTATGGCCTTAACACATCTGTTATCACGTTTTGAGCAAAGGTGGCATGTAGACCCAGCCTGAATGGGCAAGAGGGCAGGTGCATGCAGTCAAATATATGCCACTCAAAATAGATGTGCATCAGCTCAGCCATGGCAAGGAGGGGCTACAGATCCTGTCACATCACATCCCCATCCCCCAAAAAACCCTATGCCAAACACCCATTGACATCACACAGCATACGCTCTACTTTCTTATAGTCCATCTGTTCCTCATGCAGCACCACAGCTCTTGGGTTATGGGCTGATGCTGAAGGCTCAGGTCCACCTTCCATTTTCTCTCCCTTCTTCCAGCCTCACCACCTCACAAGCCTTTTTTACCATGAAGCTGAGACACTTTTCCCTCCTGCAACCCTCCATCCCTTCCATCTCAGCTGCGTGGTTCTCCTCAACACAGGAGAAGGCCAGGGAGTAAGAACTGGTCCTTCAGACAGCCCTGGGCAGGGTTTGGGAGGTGAAGATCAGGGATGTGAATTGCCAGCTGATTCTGCAAAGTCACAGCGATGAAGCTCTGCTGCCACAGAGATTCACATGGGAACACGGCGTGAAGCCATGAATGCACAATCAGGGCTACAGCTCAGGATCTGTCCAAAGGAGATTCTCCCTGTTGAAGGAAGGAGAAATTTGTTTATGCATAAACATCCACAAAAATAGCTGAAGGAAAGCACAGGGAAATGAGCGGGAATGCAAACTGGATGTTTTCTGGCAGAGCCCGCTTTGCTGCCAGTCTAAGAGTCCCTCTTCTGAGCAGGTAGCAAAGGCTGCACCAGCACCAGCTGCTTCTGGAGATCCTTTTCATTTAAACAAAGAAGCTGCAACTATGGAGAGCACCCACTTTCCCTATAAAGCGTTGCAGGGTGAGAGGCATCCCTCTCTGGGCACGCATTGTCCTACCCAGCAATGATATTCCAAAGTACTGAGAGATCAGAGCCGGGTTACAGCTCTTCAAGGACTTAACAAATCTTCCGGGGGGGGCAGGGGGTGGAGAAAAGGGGAAAAAAAAAAAAAAGATGTATTTACAGTCTAGCTCCTCACGAAAACACCTTGGAAAAATAGACATGGCAACTGCTCAGCATCAGATAGTGTCTTCATCAGGGCAAGTCCCGAGCTGCAGAGCAATGGGCACCACGAGAGGCAAATGCAGCTTTTGCCTTTCTGCAGTCGGGGTTTCTCCCACCTGCTAAAATTGTCTTCAGTGCTGGGGGCCAAGCTCAGTGGGGGACAGAGGAATTCGGAGCGGGTGAAAGGCTTTGTGGTTCCTACGGGCAATGGGCATGAGGAGGGTGATTTCAACTGAATACTCACCCAAACCAACCAACCTCAGTCTGACCGGTAGCTCGATAAAGGATAACTCAGCACCTCCCTGGGTAAGTTCTTCCCACGGCATAAAACCATCCAAACTTCACGGAGGGTGCAAATTCTGCACCTTATTTCTGCTTTTAGAAATTGTGAACTGTGTTGGGGGAAAGCTGTTGGCTGAACAGCCTGGGCAGGGAGGTGCAAAGCACCCTTCAAAAGCCAGAGCTTTGCCCAGGTGTGCCAGTGCCCTGAGCCAAGGGGCTCCCCGGGGGAGAGCTCAGCCCCCAGCTCATCCATTCCTCAGCCTTTCCAGCAGTTGACTCCAGCCAGCAGCAGCAGGGAGAACGCTTAGGACATTAATAAATCCTATGATATTGAATAAAGCACTTTGGTTTATGGTTTTGCTATAAGAGCTCACCCCTGGGTACTTATAATTAGCTGAACTAGAAAAGAAATAAAGATTTCAATTTTTTCCCACCAATTTTCTTTCTCTTTTTTTTAAAAAAAAAAAGAAGAAAATCACCACTGCTAATAAAAAAACCTCTCCTTATATTTACCTGCCTGGGTAGCAATATTGACCTCTGTGCAGACAGAAGGTGCTTTCCTTATTGCGCATCTCACTGGCTAATCCATCTTTCCTGGCTACAGAATATGGCTTTGGCTTTATTTTCACAGCAGTTCTGTAATTCATTGCTCTCCATGATCATGCCTAACCCCATAACTCCTGGGAAGTGTGTGGGGAGTAAGTGGGAAGAGCTTGTTTCAGTCCCACATGAGACTTCACCTCTAACAGCAGGCAGCTGCCAGCATCACTGCCCTGCCCGCTCGCGAGAGCTGCCTGGTGCGAGACCCAGAGCAGCTGCGGAGGCTGGCAGGGTGCAGGCAGCTCATGCTTATCTCCAACCGCTGATTTTCTAGCATTTTCATATCTTCCGCTTCCAGGTTGCCTGCAAAACAAAAGTTCCCACTGACCTCAATAAAAAGGGATCGGATACCTTGGTGTAACTGCACGCGCCCAGCAGTGGTTTCGACTGGAAAAATAAGCCCACGTGCAAAGATCCCGGCAGCACCAGGGTTGAAACAACCCCCTGATCCACGCAGCTAAGTCTTTCAGACTCCACATCATTCAAAGTACAGGGGTTTTTATTTTCCTTTATTAAAGCACACAAGTAGCCATCTAGGAAATTGTCATTTACACTGCGGCAATTGTAAAATCATACCAACACCAACATTTCAGAAGGGAATTAAAGAGCCTGCGCTTCAGCCGGCCAGCCGATCACAAGCCTTTAACTCCATAGGCACAGTACAATAAAGCTTTTGCTTCCAGGTTTTTGTTGCTCTTCTTATAATAAACTCCACCGAGCATTGAACAGAATGCCTGAACACATTCACTGCAAGGGCCACAGAATTACCCAAAAGCTTAGTAAACACACATTTATTGAGTACTTGATTATGTAAGATCATTGCAGCATAGGCATTATAACAAAATCCTTATTAAAAAAATGCCAAACACCGGTACATTTTTCAGAGGACAAACCTATTTAAAAACCCAACCGAGAACTACAAAGGGAGGGTGGCTGTTCCTTAGCCAGCCACTAACGAACGCTCTCCTGCTCCCTGATGGCACTGCAAGAAGAGCCCGGCAGTCGCTTCCCAGCTTCATGTACGACCATACTCAGCATCCCGTCAGACCGCGTGACGGCTGAGGGGCCGAGAAGACTCAAGGTTGCTCACTGACCAACGCTGTTATTGTATCCACGAACACAACAGCCCACCAAACTCATTTTTTTCCAAGGGCGCGGATACAGCTTGCCAGCAGCGGGGTTCTCGGGGAGTTCTTCTTAGCATGCTTGGCGGTTGTATGAGATTTCCTAGTGAGTGCTTGGGGATAAACATCCATTGCAAAGTGCTTAAAGTGCCCACATTTCCTCCTCCCCTCTACGTTATTCAGGGGAAGCGCTAATTGCGAAGTTTGCTCTGGTATCCCTCCAGATTCCCAATCAAATGCTAATCAGCATGAAAATCCTCCCAGCTTGAGCAGTTTACAAGGGATCTGGGTCCTATACATGGGACACTAGAATTGCATCTATATTTTAAGCCCAGCCATAAGGGAAACACTCTACATAGAAATATAACACTAGATTCTTTTATACAGCATATATAAAGAACATGACAGCATTAAAATATTGGCAAATCAATACATTAAAAATACAGAATCTCATAAACCAGAGCACAAGAAATATTCACATGAAATCTGTACAGTCCGGACAACACTGCCGGTTCTCACATTAGAGCTGACCTCCCACCTCCAAATGGAGGTCGTTGCTTTGCTTCCCCCATCAGCACCACTGGCCACCACTGCCCAGATTTCCCTGGGGGTTTGTGCTACAGGGAGAATACAAGTCTGCTGTCCCTGCCAGCACGGAGGGCACTCAGTGGTTAAACTCTCGGGGAATGCTTTCATTATCAAATGAAATGACTGGGCATTTCATTTTACACAAAGCTCTGGCCTACTGGGAGAGGAAAAAAAAAATCAATCTATAGTTGGCAGGAGGGGTGGTACCTTGGTAGCATTTCCCAAGTGCTCTCAGCATCGTGGATCTCATTTTATTAAAAAAAAAAACAAAACAATCACCTTTTGTATGGTTTGTGCACCACTTATCTTGTGTGGAGCAGGTGGGACTGTTTTAGGCTGCCCCTCCTACCAGAAATGTCCCTGTCTTCTGGAGGAGCTGCTGTTCTGACTTCTCCAAAATGGCTTTCCCCGATACATAAATACATGTATACATAGGCCACTTCATTCCTTCCTCCTCTCACTGAGGAAGACCCCCAAGGCATGCTTGGCAAGATGAAATCCTACGTTATAGCTGTACATATAGCACTAGAGAGATGTGTATATACAGACACATTCTGTCCATTATTACAGTCGAAATACGGGGTTAAAAAAAAGCAATAGCAGCATGTAAACAAGGATTTGTGTTCATTTCATCTGTCTTTTCTTCCTCCTCTTCCGAGCTACGTTCAGTTTTGACAGTCCCTTCTCACCACCCTCCTCCCCTGGCGAGGCGGAGGGTTTCACTGCAGGCGCCGTCCGCAGGAGCTGACATTGTCCTCCCCAGGCTCCTAGCCCTGGCTCGGGGCAGTTTGCATTTCCCTTCCACCAGCTCCCTCCTCTCCCTCCCCGCATCCTTCCCTTTGTGATGACTCATCCTGGAGACGATCTTGGGTTTTTGTCTGACAGCTGCTGCCCACTTTGTCTTCAGCAAAGTCTAATTTCAGAGCAATGCCGCAAGAATAAAACCCGCACCCGAGCGCCTGGTGAGCCACATGAGCTTTTAGCGCCTTAAACAACTCAGGGAGGAAAAAAAGAAACGGAATAGTTTGCATTTTGTCTGTCTCCCAGCAGCAAAAGTGTAAGTCCCAGGAGCAATGCCTGTTTTAAACCCTTAATTCCCAAATTCTCAATACTGTTGCAAACCACCAGGGTTTCACAGGAATCAAAGAGCTGATTTCAAACACATTCCTTAGTGCAGGGTGCACTGGAACTAAAAAAGCATCAAATGGGCTCACTTTTTCTGCATGCTCTTGCAGTATCTGGTTTTCCCAACCCCCAAAACTGTTTCTTGGTTTCTTGCCTCTCAGTTTTGAGGTCCTGCTAAAGAGCCGTTATCTGAGTTAGCTCTGACGTGGGGGTGGTTGGACTCTGCTGGGCGACAGCCACCATGGGAATTTCCATGCCTAGTCAGGCCGGATTGTTAGTCCCCTCCGAGTTCTTGCAGGCATAGGCCACATCCTTGGCGATGCTGCACATCCTGTTGGACATCTGGAGCTCGGTCCTGAAGGCAGTGGGGAAGCAGAACTTCTTGAAGCACGCCTTGAAGTTCTCATCTAAGAAGGCGTAGAGCACGGGGTTCAGGCTGCTGTTGGCATACCCCAGCGCGGTGCAGAAGCAGGAGATGGCCAGCTCGAGCTCGCTTTCTGCCTTGGCACCCAAGCACTGGACCAGCACGAAAATCTGGATGGGAGTCCAGCAAATGATGAAGACTGCCACCACCACCAGGACCATTCGGGTGATGCGCCTCAGGTTTCGGTCCTTCTCCTTGGAGCCTGAGAGGACACGGACGTTCTTGAGTCGTCTGATCATGAGACTGTAGCAAATGGTGATGATCAACACGGGGATCATAAAGGAGAAGAGAAAGACACAGATGCCAAACACTGGATCCCAGTAATCCACGGGTGAAGGGAGTTTGATTAGACAATCAATTTCTGCAAGTCAAAAAATAAAAAGGAAGGAAAGATCAGCAAACCCATATCAAGAAAAGCGTCTGCACATTCAGCTTAGTTTAGGCATGTTTAATACCAGAAAAGCAGTAGCATTGATGCAGAGAGGCAAGGGCAGAACGGAAAGAGTTAAGATGGCATTACAGCAGAGAGCTCACCGTACTGACGAAACTGGTACCCCTCTCCAATGGCTCCCCAAGCCCACGGGCTCTCCTGGCCACCAACACCTCCCACCTGTTGGATGCGTTTTTACTAACCGTTGTTTTCATTCTCTGCAGACCCCATCACCATTGCAGGGATGCCGAAGACAGAAGCCAGCGCCCAGATGCAGACATTCACCACCTTGGCCTTGTGGGGAGTGCGGATGTCTAGTGCTTTGATAGGGTGGCAGATCGCAATGTAGCGGTCCACGCTCATCATCGTCAGGGTGAAGGTGCTTGTGAACATGTTGTAGTAGTCTATAGAGATGGCAATCTTGCAGAGGACATTGCCAAAGGGCCAGAAGCCCAGGAACGTGTCTGTACCCTGGAAGGGTAAGGTCATCAGACACAAGGTATCAGCCAGAGCGAGGTTAAAGATGTAAATGTTGGTTGCTGTCTTCATCTTGGTGAATCTGAAATGTAGGAATGAGCAATGGTTAGAGCTCCACCTGACCATGATGGGTAAGACATTGAAGCCTACTGAAGAGGGCATTCTGCCACTTTAGGAAGGAGATGCTGTATTTTTCTTCTGTAACAAGAGACTGAACACCACTTTTTCCTTTCTACCTCCCACGTGCTTATCAACACACAGCTCAACCCAGCGCCTACAACAATACAAGTGGCACCTTCACAACGTTTCACGGGCAGGAGAAGCTTATCCCCTTAGACTGCAAGCAAGGACCATGAAAGCCTGAGGCTGTCAACTCAGACCATGTTTTTTGAAAAATTACTTCAGTAAGGCTAATCTGGGATTTCATCACATATGGCTTCATTATTATAAATATTGGTGAGAGCTGTACCCAGTAAGCTGATTTGAAAGGCATCATATGGTCCAGGGGTATGTTGATTAGCCATTTTATACGGGCTCATAGCCAAAGACTATGGGTAATGCGAGCTATCAAATCAGAATGGGCAAGATGGCCAGCCCTGGCCAGTGGCAGCTAAAAACTGGTGAGGAATGAGGTTTGTATCAGAAATCAAAATATCATAATGGATCTTTCTAAAGAAAGAGGTAGCTTGCGGATAAAGTCATGAGTCAACTCTACTTAAAAGTCATATAGAAATGACAAAACCCCTTTGATCGCATGAACCAACTGCCCCAAAAGAAGATTCACCTTGCTCTAATGGTAGTCATCTCCTTTTTACACATGGGAAATGATGCAAAGATGTGATTACCTACCCAAGGATACACGCAGAGTCTGCAGAAATGGAAATTCAATGGTGACTCTGTGACTGAATCTAACATTTCAGCTCCAGGATGTTCCCTTTCATGGGCAAAATAAGAGCTCAAATAGGTATAATTTTAAAACTACAGCTCATCTATCATTTACTAAACTAACGGCCTTTGCAGAAACGTTGCCAGAAATGGCAGACAATGATGTGTGTTATTAACAGAGGGCAAGTTCATTTGAGGGTAACACTTAAACCCATAAGCTACTGCACTATGTGCAGTTTGATATGCATTGGAATATCATGGGGTCTGATTTGACCTAAAAAAAGCTCTTTTTGTCAAATTGGTTCAGAACAGCAAACCCACAACTGCACTCCTCAGCACTGTACCACCCCTCGTCTGATAATCTGAGCTTCAGCTCTTGATAGATTATTTGAATGCTTGGAGGAACATCATCACTGCCACGCTCTGAACTCTGTTGAGACACATGGCGACATAGCCAGGTTTGCAAGAATAACAGCCAGGGGATCCACAATCCAGAATATAAAGTCTATCTTTTTTACCCCTCTTAGAGCTCTAAGCTGTGTTTGTATTAGAAGTCAGATGTTTGAAAGTGGCTTCGGAAAGCAAGAACAAACAATCCTACATTTGACCTTGAAAGCCAAGGGAAGCTTTTGGAGCAGGTGAATGTTGATGGAAGCACTTGAGGTCCCCACATAAGCCTGAGTCAGGCTCCTCCTGGACCAGAAATCACAGCAGCCAAGCAAGACAGCGGGTTCCTAGAAAGCCAGCCCAGATCAGATAAACTTTTATAACCAAAAGCAGTAGAGGAAAAATACCAGTGTCTTTCCTATTGTGAAGGGATGAACAAGCAAAACACTTTGCAAATCCAACACAACCAGGCAGCTGCCAGCGCTTTAAAGCTTCGGGACTTCCTAAGCAGAATTACCCAGAAACAGACTCCAGTGCTGTGAACCCCAGAGCAGCAGCACCTCAGGGTGGGCGAGTTTTGCTTTTTTGTTTGAATTCATGCAGTTGGCATAAATGAGGCAATGCACACAGGGAGCACGAGATGGGTCTGTGAATGGATTCAGACACTTTCCCCTCTAGGTCAGCAGGGGGGGTAATTAAAATTAAGAAATTAAATCACTGTTCTTTATCAGCCCAGACAAAAATTGTCAGCTTAGGCTTCAGGAAATTATTCAGTCACCTAAGACTGTTAGCAAAGGTCTCCTAGGAGCTGCAGTCTTCCTCTGCATACCACAGACCTGGCTGGGCTCACCCAAGCTTCCCAAAGGTCAAGCTTGTTCTGGTCCATCCTTCCAGAAGGACTGGACTTGGTGGCAATTCATCAACATGCCTCTAACCCTGACTGCTTTTACTGATGTTATAACTCGAGGGGATAACAACTGCATTTTTGAACCATGATGGGCAACTTCACCACTGTGAAACAGAAAAAAATTAAAAGTTTGTTTTTTCCACTGTGAAACAGAAAAAAATTAAAAGTTTTTTTTTTTTTACTAGTGGAAGAAACAAGCAGCGATCCACCCACTTCTACCACCCATCCAGCATCCACAGGGGACAAAATTGCCTCCACACACACTCCTGTGTCCCCAGCACAGTAAGAAGTTTGGGGCATCTCAGATAACCCTGAGCTTGGGGTGTGCAGATTGCAAACCTTCAGCTTCCCCTTGCTCCCCTCCACACCAGGGGACCTTGCTGGTCCCTCTCCTCCGAGACACTTCTCAGCAAGAATTCAGAGTCCAGGTGCAATTGCTCAGCCTGCAAAATCCGCTCTCCCCCAGTGCACAGATCTCTCTGCTGCCCCTTTCCTCACTCCCTCCGAGGTGACAGCAGAGCTGCCTTCCCTTGCTCCCTCCGAGGTGGGGACATGCTGGGGTGACTGGCCCACCGCTTACCTCCTTCAACCCACCCTCAAGTGGATTTTGAAGCTTTTTGTGTTCTCAAAACGTGGGGAAATTAATTTACACCTAATTGATTACTTCTAGCTCCACTTTCTCTTCAGCAAGCCAACAGCCATTATCCCAACCAACCAATATTCCCAAACACTTCCAGAATGTTCAGTACAAACAAAAAATCAATTAGCCACTTCTCTGTGGATTAACCTTTTTTTCTTTTCCTCCAGGAACTGAGTGTTCTCTTTCTTAATCTGCACAAAAAAGAAATTAAACTCTCGGGCTTTAGGAGGCACCTAAGGTCGCCCCCACAGCACAGCTCCGAGGCAGATAAGCCTGTGGCCTCTAAGGAGGACACTAGCTCCCCGCTGAGCCACTTTCTTGCACTTGGTCACGGAGGCAATTTCCTAATGGAGCATCTCCCACAGGGCGGTTCTCAGCTCTCCATCCAGCTCCACCTTTGTCACAAAAGTAATCGCTTTGCTCTGCTCTCCTGTTCTCCCGGCTGCTGAAGCCTAAGAGGAAAAACATCTGGATATCAGCTCAGCACTTGGCTTCCCCCTCCTTTTTGCTAAGTGGACCTCAAGCAGCGTTACCTGGAACAAAGCTGTGCTACAGCGAGGGGAACCCACAGTTTTGGAGAGGAGGAGATGGGTAGAAAACAGCTCTTCCACATACTGGGCTTTGAGGTCCTGTTTTTCACAAGGACAGATTCTGTCCCTGGCTGAGCTGCAAACCTCTTGTTTTAGCATGACTCCCTCCTTTCCAACCCGCCACCGCGAGGCTGCAGGGCAGCAAGCAGCTCCAGATTCCCCAGGGCTAAGGACCAGCCGGCTGCAGCGAACCTACAACCCAAAATGGGGCTTCAGGCACCAGGGGCAGAGCGACCAGAGCAAAGCCTTCAGCCCTGGGGAACTGTGAGCATTATCTCCAGGAGCTCTCTGCCTCTTGATTGATATTCGTAGCTCCAGCTAATTGGTATGCAGACAGTGCTGTTCACCTTGAGCAGCTCCCTCCATTCCCACCCCATGCCCTGGCATCAGAGACAGCCTTCGCTGCCCTTCCTGGACACGCACAGGGGAGCAAAACAGAGCAGAAAAGGCTCAGGGAGGTTTTTTGCCAAGCTGCTCCCAACCTCTGACGGTGGAAATCAGCACCAGTTCACTGACATCTCTGCTCCCAACCTGCTCTTAGCCCACAGGTTGTATGAAGCTGATATTTGATTTGGCACGTACCATCGTGATTTGTGTCCTCCCAGCCATACACCCACACCATGCTCTCCGTGTCTCTGCCACTCTGATCACCTTTTCAAAGCCCCCTCATCCTGAAATTACCCAATTCAAGCCAGTTTATTTTTAATGGTTCAACAGGCCACAAAAAAAAACACCCAGAGAATTTAAGAAGGACAAATTTAAATCACTTTGGACCATGAAGCCAGACGCTACAGCAAAACCAGCCAGCCAACGCCAGCACGTAAAAGCCTATTAATTACCTGGCACAACAGTGACTGACTAGCAGGGCTTAAGGAGCCTGCCGCCAGCCAGGGTAAGCAGCAATACTTTGGGACAGTTGATTTTCTTGCCCTTTGAGTCTCGCTGCCATGTCTGGGTGACACTGGTGCCCTGGGGACCAGCGCAGACGGGGACACTGCATGACCCTGATCACTGCCATGCCAAAGGCAGAGGCTGGGTGGCTGCTGCTGCAAAAGCCTCTGCAACTTGCCCGGGGGCTCGCAGGGATGTTCATGCAACCCCAAGCGGGCGCATGGCCACCAGGAATAGTGCTTCAGTCTAAGGAGGGCATTTGCCAGCATCCGTCCTGCAGCAAGATGCTCCCATCCCTGTTCGTGTGCTGGATCTGCCTCTGCTGAACTGCTTGTGTCCTAAATGCTGCTGGGAATCGCCCAGTCCCTGAAAAGCACTGGGAACAGAGTCCCACATTAAACATCACAGAATTACTGCTGCACATGGGTAATTCCTTTCCGCCCATCCCACCGAAGCCAGGGGAAACCAAGAGCCCTCCAGCACACATTGGAGTCACAGGAACTGTGTTAGCAGGGGCCACACACGGCTGCTATGAACCACGTGGCTGAGCCCGGCTCACCTGGGCTCATGGGGGCCTGGAAATTGGGGAGCTGCAGACCTGCCCTTTGCAGCAGGTCCCCTTCCTGCTCACCTTGCCATCCTCCCCCCGCTCCAATCACTCTGCACAGCACAGAGCCCTTGGCATGGGTTTCCCTTCTCTACAAATTGCAACAATTGTCCTTTTTTTTTTTGGCCAGAAAAACCTGGAAGAGGGTGATCAGGAGAGAGCTGAGGTCTCAGATGGCCCTGCCAGTGTCCACTGGGTCCACGCCACATTAAACGCTCACTCGATTTCAGCTCCGAGACACACAGCTGGTCGAGGCTCTTCCCTTAGAAAGCTTTCTATTAAGAAATCAGCATCTCTGCAACGTCATAGTTAACTTCGTTTTCCCTGTCTCATCACAGCCAGCTGCCCTCACCCTATTCTCAGGGAACGATGCAGTTTTCAAGCAGAATACGGCTGGCACAGCCATCCCCAGGCAGCTGCTCGGTGCAGACACCTCCCCATCACAGCCTTCTTCCTAAACCTTCACCTGGAAGCGGCGAATAAAAGTGTAGGGGCCTAACAGCCCTAATCTGCCTAAACAGCTGCTTAAAATGCTCTGAAACAGTGTTCTTCAATAGGGAGAGCTGAGCATCCCCAGTACTTTGCCAAGCTCCCAACAGAGAGCTGCCATGGCAAAGAGAAGTGCCCTAGAACCAGGCATCATTCCCCCAGGGGCCTGATCCAGGCAAGCAGAGCCAGCACTGAGGAAGGGAGTCCTCCAGATCATCACTGCTGAGCATCGCAGCAGCGTGATGGAGCAGGGGACAACAGAGGACTTCCTGGGCCAGAAGCTGCACGTTGTCCCTGGTCCCTTCCCCGACACACCGGTGGAGGCTTGGGGGTCCGTCACACCCCGTGCAGCTACACTTTGGTTGCTCTCATGTATGGGCCAGCATCACCTCCAGCCCCATGGCCCATCCAACCCCATGGCCATCGCAGGAGCAATACATTCCCCTTCTCTTTTCTTCTTAAAAACAAAGCTCTCGGGCATCCAGCCTTGCAGCATTCAGTTAATAGATAAGAGCGACCTCGGCAGCCTGTTTTCCCCCCACTCTCCCCCCAAACCCTCTCTGCCTCGTGCTGTTCTACTCCTTGTTTCACATTCATTAAAAAGCAGTACAGGAAATATATGCAGAAGAGAGCAAACAGCAGAAGGAGAAGGAGGGAGGGGAGGCATTATCTCCACTGGCAAGGAACTCCACAATGAGCAAGCAGAACAAAGCCGCAGACGAGGCAGGTTTCCACAATAGGCCCTTTACTGTCCAGGAAATCGTGTTCCTGACGAGAGCCCTTCTCGGTCTTATCCAATTAGTGCTGTTCGGCACTAGAAGGGGATTGACAGTCACATGATGACTGTCTCTATAAATAAATCATTCCAAATGTTAAATCACTCCAAATATAATAGAGATGTAGCCCGGGTTCCGCAACAGAGGGGAAAACCCAGAGGAGGCTTTGAATTTGTATTTTTGTGCGAAATACCGGGAGATTTTAAACTTTTCCCTTGGTGCTGCAAAAAACTCATTCAAGAGGAACAGAAAACAAGCCTTCCTGACGCCTCCAATTTCCTCGAGTGCTGATATTAGAGTCTCTGTATTTCCCAACTCCCTCTTAAACAGGAAACAATTACTGTCTACATCACTGTACTATTCTTTTTCTGGAAGATAATACACCAATTTCTTATAGGTTGTGTAGCATGCTGAAGTCTGGTTATCCCTGGTGAAATATAAGCACGGAAAGAAAAAAAAAAACAGCTTTTGTAGGGCAGTCTGGTTATCCCTGGTGAAATATAAGCATGGAAAGAAAAAAAACAGCTTTTGTAGGGTGCACCATACCTATAGATGGTAGGGGTGCAGCACAGAAGGTTTGCCAGTCTTTTAATGATACATGTCTTCCATTAATGGAAAAGAGTCCCAAAGCCCCGTGTTGACTTACCAGCAACAAACATTCAACCTACTGAAAAAAGATGTTATTTAAGGCATGAAGCCCAGAAGCACCAACGCTCCAGCCTGGGGAGAAAACCTGTGCTTGAGAAGTCATCAACATCCTCCTTGCATGGCCACTAATTTGGCAGCTCTGCCTGAACCTGCGTATACATCCAGGATCAAGAGTTTGAGATACTGCATCCAGTTTATCACCAAACCTGCTCCTGACCTTAACGGACAGGGCAAGGAGAGAAAAATCCTGGGCAGAAATAACCAGAAGTTGCAGTTACTCACGAAACCAAGAAGGGTCATTTCCCTGGGTATAACTCAGCATTAGTCTCAGCCCGCACTGAGCTCCCAGGAGACACTGGTGGAGAGAAACAGTAGCTTCTTCTACACGTGTTCTAGCTCAGTTATAACTTCCCCAGCACACATTACTCAAGTGGCCCCTCCAGGCTCACATAGAAGTTTTTGGGGAAAAAGAGGTGAATCCCCCAAAAGGAGTACCCAAATAATTAAAACTTCTATTAGCTCTTTTGTATATATAGGGATTTACTGGATAAAGGGGAAACAGAAGCGGAAAAGGCCTGGGGGAGATCGGGGTGACACCTGTCTTCAGTTTTCAATTGTTTAGAACCAGTAAAACCAGAGGACACAAAAAAAGCTGAGGTAGCCAGTGCTAAATCCCGCTTTCTTTTCTTGGGTCCCATTTATCCAACTGGAAGGTATCAAAGCCAAAAAGGAGCAGAACAGAAGCCACCATTTTGCAAGCGTGGCCCCGCACAGCCACAGCACACATTCACCCTGACCAAGATGCCAGTCTGGGACATTCATATTCTTGGTGATACACTGGTCACAGCCCCGGGCAGGGGCCAGCAGGTCCTGCTCTCCACATCCCACGAGACCTTTGGAGACAGGGAGAAGGTTTCTGCCAAGACTACTTCTTACACACGTCTAAGGTTCACGCATGGGGCACGGACTCCCTTCCCCTGCGTGCACACTGGCTGGCATTTCCAGGGAGCTGCATCACCGTGGGACAAGGATTTCTCACTCCCAGAGCCTCACTGCTCACCACACTTGCATGCACCCACAAACACCGTGCCTACTCGAATGATTGCTACTGCACTCAGAAACACGAGCTCTCCAAACGCGGCACTGCTGCACTGCAAACCTCCTCTCTCCATCTCCAGACTCCCCGAGACTAATGTGATCCCTTCTCCCTGCCATAAACTCCTCGGCAGGAAGAGCACAGACAGGCAGCCTGACGAACAGACATGTCGCCTTGCCCTTTGGCTGCTGTTCACCAGCCTCTGATACCAGGCTTCATTTTGCAGCATCTCCCCCAGCCGAGTTGTGTGTATTCAAGGGAAAGACGCTTGGGAAGCAGCAGGGCTCCTGGCAGGAGCGAGACTTAATCTCAGTGTCTGAATACCTGCTAAATATTTTTGTCCTCTGTTGGAGGAGAAAACAAATTGATCCTGTCTTTTCTGTGCTGGCAGCATCCACCTGCACCAGGATTCTGCTCTGAGACACGTATAAAATGGAAGCTCACTCCTAACATACAGGGTACAGAGATTAGAAGGGGGTTGCTGGTGTTTGACACAGAATCACAGCCCTAATGGTTGCATAAACTTATTTTCTACTTACGGGGGGAAGAGGGTTTCCAATTCCAGGAAATAGGGTGGTTTGAACCCCACCAGAACCAGACAGGGACACTTAAAGTGCCAGGAACATGCAGGGAGGCTGGACAGTGCTGCTGGAGTGGTGCAGGCTCCGTGCTCTGTCCCTCTGCAAAGGTCCCCCCAGGCTCTCCCCACTTCAGCAGGAAAAGCCAGAGAAGTTGCCCTCATCTCTGCAGCATCCTGACACATCTTTCTTATGTCTGTAGTTTCCAAAGAGTTGGAAGAGCTACATTCGTGATTTTTCCCCTGTAAAAGTAAGACTGAGCCTCCCAGCAGGCTTTTTCCTTTGCAGCTAGATTCAGCTTTGGAAAGTGCCAGCTCCCAGATGGAGCAGCACCTGCAGCCACAGCTGGGGTGCCGGACACGGCACAGGAGGGAGAGGTCCCATTAAAGATCCAGCACACCCCGGCAGCAGGATGCTCCTAGCACATTGCCCTCCCCAGGGACATCCAGCCCCCCGCCTGGCTGTTTGCAAAAAAAGTCCCATTTTTTTGAGCAGATCTGATCGCTCTGTTCCATTCTCTGGGTTAAACATTAGGAGGCACTAGAGGGCAGCTGAAAGCTGGTGGGAACCTTCATCACAGCCTAGGAAGGGAGAAAAACAAATAAAACCAAAACAATAAAACGAATGCCACATCGTTACCTCTAAAGCACATCACAATTACCAGGGAAGCGCCTGCCTGCTTCACCCGCAGCAGGGATTTAGGGGGGGGGAAGGTCTGCCCCACTCGCAGCCCTCCCCAGAGCCTCCCTGGAGTGCTGCCTGCGTGTCCTACCTGACGATCACATACATGACGGAGCAGTTGCCCACCAGCCCCACAATGCACACAATGGAGTAGACAACCACAATGGTGATCTTGATGCTCAGCGGCAGGAAGCTGTCCCCCGTGCCGTTGTTGAACCAGTTACTGGGGAGAAAGCTCAGGTTCAGCATAGAGGAGTCGTTCAGCAGCTTTCTCAGGTCAGGGTCTTCTAAAATATGGGCAGGGAAGAGCGGGTCCATCCTGAAGCACCAGCCTGTGCCAAGGACCTGGGGCACCAAAGAGACAGTTTTAAGATCCGCTGATCAATCGGGTGGGACAGGACCGTAGCAAAGCATGTGTGAGAGAAACGCGGGGGGAGAAGGATGATTTATTGCCGGGGAGAGCACAGCCCCCCCCCCTCAAACCTCCCCAAGAGCATTTTAATGGGATGTAACCCTGAGAGCTTGGTGCATCCTGAGCACACAGGGAGCTCACGCATATCTCCACACCGTCAGCTCAGGGGACATGCGGGCTGCACAACGCCATCCCTCCCAAGCGTTGGATGCTCCTACCTGCCTTTCCCAGCCCTGCCGGGTCGGTGAGTCCCCACACACGGCTTTGTGCCCCCAACCCTCCCACCCCCCCCCCCTCCGAGAGCCTCCGCAGCCTCCCACCGGGGCTGGGGGCTGGCCCC